AGTTACCTAACAATTTATCGTGGGGAGAGTGATTGATAAATACAAATCAATATTAACAATATTGCAGTATTGAAACACAATGTAGAACTGTCTAGGATAGAATCCTGTCATGTTTTAGCAAAAATGTTTATTCCATTGAAGACACACACTTCTTGTGTGGATGCCATGGTTGCATTTAACTAATTAGAATATACTACACTCTAAAACATCCAATGTGGCCATACTATAGCATTGATCCAATGAGTACAATGCATCTTGGTACATCCGTCTCATTCAAGGTACCAAGCAACTAATAAGAAAATGGGGATTACTCTGGATGCAACATCTCTGAATACACAGTCAGGGCACACAGTCAGGGCACACAGTCAGGGCACACAGTCAAGTAAATTGTTTCAGTTTAGAGCATGGCCAACCCACTGCCAAGCACTGCTGAAAGGCTTAGTATGCTTGATTTCAAGACACAGGTTTTTTGTCTGCATTTTTTTCAAATCATAAAACATTCATAACTGGCATTGTCACTGTACAAACCTGATTGATTGAGCTTTCTTTATTAGCATCAGGCATGATAACACCATGGTTCTTAGCTCCCATATTACTCTGTACACGTTTCCCATTCAGACTTCCTCGTTCATAAATATATTTCCCAGCTTGATCAGAGCCAACAAAGGAAATAGCTTTAATTGCTGGGTTATCACAGATAAAGTTTACAGCTGCAAACAAGAGAAACAATGATTAATAAGGTGATCACACAGACATGGCAGCTTTTTACTGATTAGGCAATTAAAAAGCAGAATGTTAGAGTCACATATAAACAAAGACAAGTCATGTGCCAATACATTTTTAAATTTTACATTTTGTAGGTTTCCAAAATTCACACACACGGAGGTCTGCGCATGCGTCACAATCACTAGCTTCGAATCGGACGGCTCCAGGAAAAAAGAAAGGAAACTAGCCTAAAAACAACGTATTTTAACGAAATAATGCCTCAAAAGAAAAAAACAACAACCACAGGAAAAAATGAGACCGATACGACAGAGAGGAAGGTCGACGAGATGCTAACGACGAACAAAAAACTTGTGGAGTCCCAGGACCGTATTATCCAAGATGGCGACCTAGAAAAAGCAATGGAACTCGCGGAAGATCAGCGATCAGCGGTAGTCCTCAGACTGTTGTTCTCAATTAGGAACGAAGTCTCGAAAATCGACCCACTGAAGGAGCAACTTACAGAAACAACCAAGAAAGTATCGGACATTGAGGTATATTTAAACCAGATGAGTGATCGCATCGATGAAGTAGAGAAAA